GGATAAGTTGTACAAATGTCAGAGAAATCTGTGTAGCACATGAATGAGATGTCAGTCAAGCATGTGTGCATAAATATAGTACACCCGTCAGATGTGAATTATTCCAGTAGAGTTAATTTAAAGTATTCCAATAGTACCTTAAGTGTTAATATAAGGAATGGCCAATGTTCATTCAGTTACATTATAAAAACAAATAGTGTTAACACATTTAATTTGGTGGCATTAATGCTCGTCATTACTTCACACTCTGTTCTGAGAGAACTGATGGAACGAATGGAAAATGTGTGCTCACTAGAGTAAAGTTAACTCTCCCTCTGCAAACCATTCTACGCGTCTGTGGCTTTGACAATTTCCACCAGTTTCATTACTCAACATTTTCAACTCACCAATTATCTCTAATTCCAATTATGCGTGGGAACCGGGGGACATCACGTGACATATCTAAGATTGATGATGTAATTACCACTCATGCGCATTGTGAACGAGTTGACAGGGGCATAGAAACGGTTAAACTAATATGCGTTAATACACAGATCAGTGTCGTATTAGTTAACAAGAGATATTCAATTATCCGTTTTTAAATAATTAAATCTTGCCACTGAAATAAAATTTAAACATTCACGTAACGGTAGTTATCAATGGATCTAACCCGTCCTCTCCAATTAATTGTACGATCATCACCAGTTGAGATTACGTCACCAACAGTGAAGATTACGCACATACTGACATCATCTAGGGCATATCTTTTTCAAAGTTGAGTCAAAGCATATATGCAAGACAGTATTTGATACGTCGAAACAAGCTGCTCTCTGATTGGTCTCTGTCGGTTTGGTGTTCGGTGCGTAGCCAATCACACTCTCATGTAGCTTGGCATTGACGATTTCGTGGTGTTTCAAATAATGAATCTATCTGAAGTACGAACGTACAATTTATGTTCGATGGACTCAACTAGTTACCACGTAAGGTGAACAAAAGGGTGGATGTGATGAAGTAGTCAGACAGTCCTATCACATGACCACGAAACCAACTGTCACGTGGCATCATTTGAGTACTAGTATATCCTATACTTTTATGCTGGTGACTATGGTTACATATTCAAACACTGTTTTTTGACAACTATCTGAGATGCCAAGCTTTGAAATATTTATTTGTTTGCCAATATGTATCAACTAAACCGGAAGTCATGTCTGTCGAGATATCACAAAGCGTATTCAAGTCGGGTAATCGCGGAATACGTCTGCACACTTCAGGTTTGGTGTTAATTACACATGATACATTAATTCATTAATTGCGTTTCTCATTCATAAGTAAATAGACGGGAATTAATTTATTAGTATTCACATATTATAGTATTCAATGTATACTACTGGGTCCATGCTTTTCTGTTCTTATAACATTCGCTAACGATAACTACTTAATGTAATTAAATGTCCAGCAAATACCGTGTTTAGTGTTTTTTTGTTTTCACGCTTACATCGTTTTTTTTAATTTGATAATGGTACCTTGGCATGGTTGACTGGCTGCAATAAAAGTGCATGATGATGACATCACAGTGATGATGATGACATCACAGTGATGATGATGACATCACAATTTGATGACCGAAGCTGCCTGTCCATTGCAGCCGCATCACCGGAAACAAAGCTGTTACAAAAATAGAATTGTCGGAAATTTAAACATCAAGATTAAGTATAAGTTTGGGTGAGTATTGTATATCAGAAAATGCAAGCACAATCAATCCGTATTGCGCGATTACCCAGTATGCTTTGCGATATCTCGACAGACATGGCTTTCGGTTTGGTTGATGTTCTTGAATAATTACTGGCCTCTCAAATTATAATCTTTGAACATTTTACTGCTTATTGAGTTATTGAATAAAATTGTCAATAGTCTAACGAAAAAAACCACACACTTTTAAAGAGATAACGTCACAGTGCCGAGAGATCGTATTACGGGATTCAGAAGGCACGTCTTGGTCATATCCTATCAGGTGAATGTTCAAATAGGAATTATATTAGATCAGTGAATAATTTTTGCAAATGTTTTTATTTTATTTTTAATTTCGTGAGCGAGAGAAATCTTGAGGTATCAGCGCGTGTATGTGGGGTGCAGACACCGTCGTTTATATCGCCACAGCAAAACAGTTGCACGGGAGCTTTCGCAAATTAAACGAGAACAAAGCCATCGACAAAAAGTTTGATTGGTTCTAATTAATAAACTAGGCATCGAACTAACTAATCCCCGAGGCTCGTAAAATCTCCCATATCAAAATTTGACTCAGACATTTGATTACTTTCGTCATGTTCCGTGTAACGCTCGTAGTATGACACGAAGACATTTGGTTTTTATCTGCGGTTACTAGGTGGAGGTCGCTTTCATCGGAAAATATTCCGGCGTGTACCAAAAAGTACTAAACCTGAATTTAAACCTATGAATGGCGGCGACATAAAAGCATTTCAAGGCGAGATTTGCAAGTTAATAGGCGTCCACGATAAAGCAGGAATACAGGTATATAAAATTGAATGCAAGATATAAAGTAGGCTTTTCCGATTAATTTCAGAAATAATAGACGTGACATCTGTGCCTGGTGTATTGACGCATGCCCATAGTGTCTGTTCAAATGGTTAGTGTTATTTTGCTGAATTTATACAGAATTTATTCCTGTTGATGTTTTGCAAGTTTTCCACGTATCTCCCCCATCGTCTGAATATTGTAACCGACCGCCAAAACTAATACTGAAATGTATTATCAGATACACTCACTGTTTCCCACTTCGGCGCTTTTCAAACGCATTAAAAGAGTAAAACGTGTATTTATTGTCGATGTGTACTTTGTCGATGTTACCTTGCAGTTTACGAGAGTGAGTATGGCGCCACAATCCATCACTGATTGCATTGGATACCCAGCAAGTACGCCGAATACGAGATTGAAATCACGCTGCGCATTGTAACTACGCAACACGTCACGTATACAGAGCCCAAATAAGGAGAAATTATTGCCTTATTTAGATATATTATGAGTAGACGTTTTGCACGGGCGGGTGCCAAAACTACTTTCCACAGTAACGTTTGTTTTCGACCATAACTGTTTAAATTCACATACACATGTTAATTCATCGAGATTTGTAAATTATTTGTGTGTGGAGTGCTGACGATACAGGCATTTATCTATAACGCACTTTCAAAGCGTTAAGCCGTTTAAGTATTTTTCGCGTGTATCATTCTGCCGAGGGCGATCCGTATATTCTGTTAAGAAATCTACACGTAACTAAACCGTCGATGACGTATGTTAGACAAAATTCGGTAATTGTTGTCTTTAGTAACTATTCAAACCAACTAGACATTTCGCGCAATAGCCCTCTATGGTTAGGATAGAGCAATGTTTTATCGGAAAGAAGAACTCTATTTTCAACATATTTTTAAAGAGC